GAGGTTGGCATCAGCCCACTTCACAAGTGTGTCAAGGTCCCTCTGGATGGCATTCCTTTCCTCCAGCGTATCAACCGAACCACACAGCTTGGTGTCATTGGCAAACTTGCTGAGGGCGCACTCAATCCCACTGTCCATGTCAGCAACAAAGATGTTGAACAAGACCAGTCCCAGCACCGATCCCTGAGGGACACTGCTCATTCCTGGTCTCCAGCCAAACATTGAGCCATTGACCACAACTCTGCGTGCTACCATCCAGCCAGTTCTTTATCCACCAAGTGGTCCCTCTATCAAATCGATGTCTCTCCAATTTATTGACAAGGATGTCGTGTGGGACAGTGTCGAACGCTTTGCACAAGTCCAGGTAGATGCCATCAACTGCTCTACCCCTGTCCATCAGTTCTGTAGCCCCATCACAGAAGGCCATCAAATTGGTCAGGCAGGTTTTCCCCTTAGTGAAGCCATGCTGGTTGACACCAAGCACCTTGTTGTTTTTCATGTGCCTTAGCATGCCTTCCAGGAGAATCTGCTCTGGTGCTTAATAAGGCTTCTGAATGAGGACTAAATTTTTTACTTCTTTATTCTACTATTTACTAAATAACCATTAATTATCAGCACCACTTAAAAAAAAAATATCAGAATATTCCCTTCCTTAGGTAATTCCTGGCATTATCTACAAATATTTCATGGTTTATGTGTAGGAAGGAAGGGTCCTTACAAAAGAACGTTGATGCAGTCAAACACAGAATTTAAGAAAGTTCATGTTCCTAGCACATTTTATGAGAAATTTTACTAAAAGTTTAGGAAAGAGCTATCTCTATGCTACTGTGCATTCAACTGGAAATTTCTTTTTCATACAAAGTGAAGTCCCAAAGATGCATTATTGTGAATGAAAACCTGAAGAACTTCTCATTTAAGAAACCTCTGTACTAGAGACTTTTGTGGTAATATTTTCAACACATCTGGATTTCAGAGTATTCATAGACATAAACCCATCAGTTCTACCACCCAAATTCATCCAAATATCTAGATGCAATTAATCAATACAAAAATCTAGTCACAATATGACAAGAGGGGAAGCAAGATAAATAGCAAGAGATATGACAAATGAAAGAATAATGAAAAAATTATGTGCTTTTGAATGCAATTTCATTTACCTATGCCAGAAATGCTCAACTGAGGTTTTTATTATGAAAAGCATCGCTTAATACTCCTAAATGTACTACTGTATTAAGAGTACACTCAGTATGAAATACTAAGGGTATCAAATGGGCATCATACATAAAGAAGAAGTAGAAAGAACTAGTATTAAAAACTGTAAGGTTATTTTACTCAAAGTTCACTGAGTTTAACATCCTTTGGTCATTCAGTTTCAATGTAGAATTTCAAGCTGACTGACAAGCACATGAAATACAGAAGTGTATGATTTGTCTCAGCAAGATATTCTTGGTGAAAACAGTCTCTTATAATCAGGTTCTGGTTCTCGCTTGAAGACTGTAGTCCTAAAATATCCTTGCAAGAAATAACACATCTGTATCATTTAACTTGATTTTGCAAAGATAAAAGACAAAAACCTTAATTAGAATGGACAAAATATCCTAAATATATCTGGCACTGGTCTCTTGTCTGGTTTGTAACAAAATTAATATTGTGATGCTCTTGGTATTCCTACTGTCTGCGTGTAGCTCATTGCTTCGACTCAGAGCCTGAAGGTAGCAGGGTCCCCTAATTCCGAGATGTGAGAGAGGCTCCTTGGCAAAGTTTAGCATGTCAGAGGTCTACTGGCCAGCAGGTAAGGGCTTGCTAAATCACAAAGCAAGTGGGAAAAGAGAAGGTGGAGGGAAACATTTTGTCAGTTGGTCCTGCCCTGTTCCAAGAAGCACTCACTCCTGCCCAGGGTTTAGCAGCAGGAAGGGGTCAAATATTAAGGGCTGCCTTGTCTTAACATGCTGGGTGGATGGAGAAGCAGGGTACCAGTGATTTGACATGGTAGTCTAAGGCCCAGGGAAAAGACCAAGTATTTTCAGGGCATTTCAGTAGGCTAAAGATGAAATCTACATGCAAGAGCAGTATTGCAAAATGCATAATGAATAAGATGTAAAAAAATACAAAAATGCACAAAGAAAAAAAAATAAAAAAGATCATAATGACTGTGACAATTCAAATCCCCTGATCTTTGCTGGGCAGCAATCAGTGCCACTGCATTGCAAGAGAGGAGCACAATTGTTGCCAGTATTACCTGTGTATCCACTGCCTTAGTTTCTCCACTGACCAGTTTTACATCTTTTATTCCTGGGATATCATACCTAGGCTGGCTATGATGGTTAATACTTTGTGGTAGGTTACTTGTGCATGATTTCTCCATCACTCTTTGCTAGCTCTCAGAACAAGCATACCCTGTACATACTGAAGAGTACCCCCGTCCTCCACACCCAAAATTGCTGCAGAGCCAGGACCAAGTCCAAGACCTGTTACATCCACTAGAAAGACATTCATTCACTGTGAAGTGAATCAGACTTGGAAGTAGTCTAGAAGTCGACTTCCATAAGTGCATAAATGGGTAACCTAGAAACAAGGAGCGTACTGATTTCCTTCCGTGGGCTGTGCATTTGTTGCCATGCTAGTGGTACATCTGATGGATGCTTCCTGACTGCCAGATTTTAAATAGTATGATATTCCAGGTTATTTCTGTCAAGTAAGTCACTGTTAATTTCATACATCTGTTCTGTGAAATCCAAGTTAAATACTTCTACAAGCCCATGAAAGAATAATGCAATTGTTTTAGATTTTACATAAAGAATCCTATCATCATGGAATTCAAATTTATCTTCATGTATTTACAATAAATATGTCCATGTAGTATGAGCACCAAAACTTAACTTCTGTACTTTGCATGCAAGTTTTACTTGTCTAGCTGTATGTATACACATTTTTTCTGCCACAAAAAAAAAAAAAAAACCTGCAGGGAAATACTTGAGGCACTGATTCAATCTGTGGCTGTGTACGTCTCATTGGCACATTCATTTTTAAATGACTGTCCTAAACTGAGGGCTAAACAAACAAGAAGTCCCTGCAGAACTACAATTGCTTTTGAAGATTTTTTTCATATTATGAAGAAGCATCAATCGCATGGCCAACTACTACACCAATGCTTTTTCCACTCAAGCTAGTGAAGCAGCAATGCCTACTGCAGAAAAAAAAAAAAAAAAAGGAAAAAAAACAACCTAGCCTTTAGATCTAACATTACATTTTGGGGTTTGTTTTCTTGTACCCAAATCCACAACCAAAGTGCAATTTATTGCAAGTTCTCTACATTAGGATAATAATAAAATAAATATTTATTTTGGTCCTGGGAGTTCATTACAAATAGCATCCAAGTACTTTTTAAACACAAATTTGTTTTTGTAACAGAGCTGTGTGATGAGCAGATATTTTACAAAGAGCTGAAGCACAGAGAGATTAAGGTGAAAAGTACCTATGAATTGTAGGTGCCAGGTGGAGCCACAGAACACAAACCTGTTAGAATATTTGGCACTTTACATAATCCAATATTGATTTTACTGACTTGAGCTGTGGCCATGCCTGGGCCCCACTCAGATGTCTGGAAGGACTGTTCAGTTACTGCCTCCCAGAGTAAATCTTCCCCTTATGTGGACAAAAAGATCCAATCAAAAAAGATAATATCACTAAAGACAGAAAGAGTCCAGCAGCAGATTTCCTTATTTTTGACTCTGAAATTTAGTGACAGCTATAAACCCTGGTGTTCTGTGAAGAATTTTTCAATAATTTCTTGAATAAAAGAAAAAAACAAGAACAAAACCAAACAAGAACAAACCTCTGTAAACAAAAAGAAAGAAATTCACTTAAGGGTTATTAATGGGGCTGGAAGGCTGGATCCCTAATACAAAGGTCTGAGCATGACATAATTGATAATAGCAATAGCTTCCCACATGGGACACATCTGGAATTATTCTGGCAGAAGGAAACAAACATAAGATACAGAAATCTTTAATTTCTAGTAACAGCTTTTAAGGTCTACTAGGGCAAGATTTTTTCTGCTCAATTTCCCCATTTATATTTCCTGCGCTGCCTGACCCATCTCAATGTTTCCCTTTTCACAGACAAACCATCCAACTCCTTTCCCACTCAAGCTAAATTTAAGTTAGACAGGCTCAGAAACCGTCTGATCTCAACATTTTGGTATCTGCTCTAACCCTCATCAGAGTTGTGAGGACATGTCCTATCCCTTTCCCACTCCTAACACAGGGCCTTTCTTTTTCCCAGAGTTTAAACTACAGTTTCTCAATGGTGCATGCTTTGGAAAAATAGCAGGGATCGTCAAACAAGAACAGAAGAAATGCAAAGACTGATTCCTAATAAAATTAACTCCTTTTCTCAAAAGCATGAGGACACAGGAAGGTTTAGTCTGATCTTCTATTTTTTTTTTTTTTTTTTTTTACATCACTGATTGTCAGCACTTTAACAGGCAAAACAACAGATTTTCTTAATTGGCTCCCTCAGAAATGGTAGAATTTTGATTCTAGCAGATACCAACCACAGACACTTCTTGCTCAAGAGACTGAATTTTTGCAAAATCACCTGCAACTCAAAATATATACCAATAATTTAGAAACATTAAGACATTTGACAGCATCACTCCAAGCCTACCCAGTCGGCTGAGCTATCCAGAGCCACACAGGTCTAGTGTGCAGCACCCCACTCCAGAATGGATTAGCCCAGTGCTGTCTTTTTATATCAAACACGGGAGACTGACGGAAGAATGACAAGGATGACAGAGGTATGACACTGAATAACTCTTTGGCTTGTATCAGGATTGATAGTCAAGCAGTAGGCACTGCTTCCCAGCTTTGGCAGGGGTGGGATGCTGTGGGTACTGGAAATTGCATTTTTTTAGCAACAGGGTAAATCCTGAACAATGGAAATAACACACAGTGACATGTTGCATAAAATAATCCCATATGCTGAGCACAATTCTCATCTGCTTCTCTTTCCATAATGATGAGGTGACATCTGACAACTGGGTGCACCTTTTTTTTTTTTTTTAAACTACAGAGCATGAGTTAACAAAGCTTACCTTTCACATGAAGATGTGTAAAACAGCCTTTGAAGTGAGCTTTTTAGAAACATAAAGCTCTAGGTTCAGCTGAACTGTGGGGTTCTCACAGAATAAGTCACACCTGTGTACACTGCAGTTAGCAATTAAAATGCTCCATCAATTGAAGCTCGGATACACCCTTCATATATCATCACAAAAAAAAACATAAAAAGAGGTTGAGATACTGACAACACATTCTTGGTTTTCTTTCTTATGCAGAAACGGAGTTGAAAGCCAAGCCTATTAACTGCAGGTTACAAAATTCTCCCCTCAATTCTATCCGCAAGTGCTGATAGCGGTGTCATTTCCAGGAATCTGTTCTCTTATCTTGGCATGTCAGTGTTGATCAGGCAGTTCATCATTTTCAATTTCATAATGTCCAATGGCCAGAAGTAACATTGCTTTACTTCACGAGCTGGGTGTTTTAGACTGCTGCAAATGTGCCTGTGTACTTAGTGTACAAACACATGAAAGTATGCAGTAATTTTCATTTAAAGGTGACAAAACCCCCAGCTGTAGTTCAAATTTCAGATTTCCACCCCTGACAGGCACACCCAAAATATCCAAATTATCTTCTCCACAGACAAAACAAAACAAACAAACAAAAAAAAAATGCAGAAAATGCAGAGTGATCCCGTGTTTGTCACAGTCCTAACAGCTCTTCGGCAAATGTCAGAGTAAAAGTACATTGAAGACTACCACACAGCCACTTGTGGCCAAAGAAATGTTGTTTGAGCTCCAAAGCTAATTATATCCAGAGCTATAAGTTCCGGCTTTTTGTTAGTACCATGCTGTAAAAGATGCCAACAGTTTAAGCTACTTTTATGAGAATATAAAAATCCGTAATGTATCAAAATTCAGATGCAGTTATGTAGATATTTCTTCTCAGGGATTCAGAACCATAACAGAGTTCCTTTTTGATAGGGGTTTCACATATTCTTTTACCAAAACAAAGACATCCTGAAAAACAAAAAGTGTGCAGAAGCTGTGCAAAGAAAGCTATTTTAAGCACTAGAAGTGTGTATTTAGAGTGCAGAAAGAAGCATATTAATCCTTACCTTACCACACTTGCCCAAAAGTGTCTTCTTTAATCCCTGTACTAAAACAGAACATGACTGAATGCAGATATTCTGGTGCTATTGCTAAGAATGATATCTATCAGAAACATTTATATCTGGTATTTAGAGCTACACAGTTTTGGGCCAAAATGCTGAGTCTGAAGACTACACACTAATTAATCCAAAAATCACAGTGATATAATTGAAAATGAGATTTCAAAAAAGCAAGAGATAACAATTTTTACCTCCTGAGAAGAATAAAGCATGTGTATATAAAGCCTCCGCAGTTTTTGTTGCCATTGCACTACAAAACCTGCATAATAGCTAAAATGTTTTGGCAGAAGATAAGAAGACTCTTTGCCCATCATACAGAAATTTAATAAGCAATATGTACCTGAAATACCCTCTTGTGAGTTGTTTGGTCTGTATTTCATGACTGATGTTGCAGCACTACGTTGCTCAGTTGAGCATAGGCTCAATTTTTTTTAAGAAAAGAAACAGTAAGCTTGATAAATACAGCCAATTTTTATTTTTATACCTGTTAAAAGTTTAGGTTGCTTCATAACTATATCTGTAAAAGGTGTAAAAATGAGTAGCCTACAAGGAATAAGCTTCTAATCCAACATAGATCAATGTGATACAGACAGCCCCAGCATTACAGCTAGCCTTAAGAGTAAATCGGTAACTCTTCTTAATCATCAGTATTTATTTGCAAAGCTTGCTGGAGTGTGAAATGGATAAAGCTGAAACTAACATAAAACTTGTGAGTTGAAGAAAGGAAGAATCAGAAAAATTATTTTTCCTGATTTTGAATATGGGGTTTTCTGAGCTTCCACCATATAAAACTCAGAAATATTCCCCTTACACTTACTTTGGGGAAAAACATAAGCCCCAAAATTGTTCAAGAAGTAAATAGAACCAATACCCAAAAGCCCTAACATCACATATATTGCCTAAAAATGAACACAGATTTCAGATCTTTCCACAAAACTTTGACAGGCAGCACAATTCCCAGCCTTGCAACAGTGCTGATATTTCAGGCTGCATCTCTTCAACTGAGATGTCCATTCATATCAAACTGTGTGGGAAGTTGAAGACAAAAAATGATTTTGATGTACAGTTTTCCTGTGCACATAAGACAGATACAGTTTAAGCAATCACTGTTCTTCAGTACTCGTTAATGATCCAGCATTGCCATCAGATCCTCATCTGCTACAGCACAAAGTTAGATGTCTCAATTTAAACACACTTCACTAACCCTGGTTTTAAAAATCATAATTCCAGGAAACTTACTTTTAATTACATACAACCTTGCTGATTCTAGTTTTTTAAACCTAGAAAATCCTCTAGTTCCACAGCCATCAATCAGTCTTCTGCAAAGCTAAACGATTCACATGTGAGGGTCTGCCCTGAAATCCGATGAGTCAGCAGCACAGCTGGTGATCCCAGCTAGGTATGGTGTTAATCGGTTTTAAGAGTGCCATCATAAGCAACTCTGCTTTTTCTTCAGCTTTGCAAGATTTTTCAGCTTTGTGCGCTGTCCAATAAGAGACAAATAAGGGACAGCACATAATAAATCCGGTATCTTGTTAACCACGCTTAATTAGCAATGAGGTTAGTCCACATTTATTTACTCCGTTTAGATCATTATCTGAGTATTTGCATAAAGAAAAGAAAACCCCCAAAATTCCGTAAATCAGAGGGCAAAGGAAAAGTGGGTGCAAGATTTCCAAGTCCCAGAAAAGATGGTAACTATTTCTGACCACCAATTACCACTTTTTCTGAAATCCAGAAATTCTGAAATCTGAGCCAATGCCTTGGGAGAGATGATTGCTTCTGGTTTTGAATAAGGTTCATTACATATTCTTCTCAAAAAATAAACCACAATAGGAAACATAATAAAGTTGTGATATTTGGAATTCAATCATTTTAATGTAGCAGTTACAAGTTCAGCAGGTCAATGTGCAGCATAATAACTGAGCAGAAAAGAGGGGACTAATGACACCTCTTTGCTATTATCACCACCCTATTATTTTACCTATAAAGATTAACTACCCTAACAATAATTCCACAAAACTCCTTAAAGAAAAGAGAATGAGACTTCCAGAAGCTTCACACCTTAGTATCCAAATGCAGGTAAGGGCTGTTATGGATATTAATGGTAAAGCAGGATTTAAATGGTCACTCAGTCACAACTATTAGATTTTATCTTTGCTTGAAGATTTAGCATAATAATAATGAAACCAAATAACAAACACAGAAAGGATGAACTATAGAGTAAGATGGGTAGGTATTGTTTTCTTAACAAAATTCTAACCCTGTTTTCTGGTGCAAGGTCATGACAGAGTTCCAGGCTTCAAAAGTTCAGGAGGTGGGTATACTTATGTTTTTATAATAGTAGTATAATCAGTACAAGCTCTGTGAGTGTTATTAGCTGGAAAATAGTCTGTTTTCTACACTATTAATGAACAAATTACTTCCATCATAAAAGGAATACATTCAAATTTTATTTGCATCTCAACCAAATTTTGTGACTGAGCTCTCTACCATTTTTAAATGTTAAAAAAAAAAAATATACAAATTGTAGCTATAACATAGAGATGTTAAACAAACAAACAAGCTTGATTTAAACAGAATTAAAAAAAAAAAAAATTAAAAGTCAAACCACTACAGCCAGAAAGATGAGGCCCTATGGCCTTAAGAATGTAGAGGTCTAGAAGCTCTTTGAAAGATGCAACTGCTACATAGTACAGTCAGATCGTTGTCTCTGCACTGTTTTTTTTCCCTTGATTTACGTGGATTAAAGCTAATTTTAAAGTTGTAGTTTTTCCTGTAGAATGCAGTTTAGACATGGACTAAAGTTACTATTTTGGGGTAATCACTAAAAATCTACACCTGCCAAATAATACTACAAAACAGTGCTCAATGCAACCAAGTACTTTCTGTATAGCAAGCTAGGAATCTCAGATGGCCTCTATTGGCTTCAATTATTGCTGCTTTGTTTGAACAGGCATTCAATAGAAACACAAGCAATCCATTAGTTACATTGAGCCTGGCACACTAAAACAGCACAAAAAGAAGATTTACAGAACCTGCTAATACAGAACCATTGGTTTCTTCTGTTGTGTCCTCAACCTGGGTTCATGAGAACCAGATAACCACAGAGGTACGCTAAAACGTGCCAGCCACACAAATCTGCAGGAATCTTCAGTTCTCACGATTTCATTCCAAACAACAATAAAGAATTAAAAGTTCTACTGTCCATAAAACAGTACATTACTTCAGAGAAGACAAGACTGCAGACTATAGAATACTGTGTTATATATGCAAATATGCCCCAAGTCACATCAGACACCTTTTTGTCAGAACAAAACTCTTTAAGAGCTTTATAATACTTCAGTCAAAATACCCTGGGCAAGTCTTGTGAAGACCCTCACAGCAGTGATCAATCCTAGGCTATTCCAGGATCCCTGACACAGGCAGCTCTGTTAAACACCTTTGAAATCAGTCTCCTGCTCAGTACATCCCTGAAGCAACAGTGCTCTGAAGCCATCAGAAAAACATTAATGGAGTAATAGGGTTAACTTGACTCCAACTCCTGCCTTTAGCAGAAAGGAGGTCTGTAAAAAAAGAATAAAAAAATGTGGAATTAAAGATATATCTGATGCACTCATTTGCTGACTTTTACAGCTCACCCAAATGTAAATGTATGACTTCAGATTAACTACAGTGTTTATTTAAATAAATAATGAAGAAGTTCCCTTTTACTCTCATCCCCATCTCAAATACTTCCAAGAATGTCAGCACTGGGAAAGCTGGTTGAGGCTTAAACACTGGCCTGAAGGATGTTCAGGGCATCACAGTTACCCTGTCAGTCCGCAAAAAAGTCTCTGCAGGACTGGCCTAGAAAAGAGCTGGAGTTTCAGGGTGGTTGGACTAAAGATAGTGATAACACAAAAAATAAGCAACAGCTAAAACCCCATCAATTTATTTAATAGAAGTTTTCCCATTTCTCTTACGGCAAACAAAGCATTTTCATCCTCTGAGGTTACAGTTTCAGCCACCTGTACAGTAGTTAGAGCATGCCTGATCTCTGAATATTGATTAAAAATATAAAAAAAATAAAGGAGTAATGCCAGTGCAGCTGATTCAAATCTTTGTGTTAAACTGAATATTCGATATTCTGCATAAGAAATCAATAGCAAGTCTGACAATCTCTCCTGAACTACTGTACAGCTCTCTTCACATGAATGGTACCTGTGAGGCTGCTGCTAGCACTGGCTCAGTGCTTTCAAATGCACTTTGGTGCTTCTTTGTTCAGAGGGAGAAGTGACATGGTATTTTGCTGCTCTGCTTGCTTTGTCTTTTTTGCTCAGAAAATTAAATTTCATGAAGTTCGTTCTTATAGATTGAACACTTTGTGCTAAACAAATGGTTATAGTCTTTCAATAAATTAGAACTAGATGTTCAAGCCAATACTGAACTGACACAAATTAGATTTACCAAGCAAAATTTTCCAAAAATATAATCGAACAAGTACTGTATTTTGCACCTGTCAGAAAATGTTTATTGCTATATTTCATTAGCATGTCCTGTCAACCTTTAATTTTAAATTGCCTAGCAGAACAGAAAAGCATTTTGTTAAGGGAGAACTAACATTTCATGGTAAGAAATATTAACTAATATTAATGGAATAAAATATCACTGTGTCTTAGAGTAAATTCATTAGCCACTTGGACCACAGTTTTTCTGAATTATTTAAGTAGTTAAAGTACACAAACCTATCAGACTCCCTGTATTTGTAACAGAACTTGTCAAGTCTGAATCTTTTTTTATAAA